TGGAGGTAGCGCTGCTTTTCCGTCACTTCACACTTTATGAGGGCTTTGAGGGGCTCTCCTTACACCTTGTGAGGGCTCCGAGGGGCGAATTTACCCGGCACAGCCCGCCCGAGGTCTGATGTGTGCCAGAAGGGCAGAATTCACAAGATGGGATTCGTACCCGGAGGGTACCGTGGCCCTGAGGGCATTGCCTCAGTGCCTGACAGGAGAAGGGCCCTCAGAGGGGGCAGGTTGGAAACCACCTTTCTGGTTTTAATGAGCCCACAGCCAAATGCAATGAACCCCAAATCCTTAAATCCTCACCCTTAACCTTCAAGGTACCACACCAAGTAAATTTGAGAGCGACCCCGTGAGGTAATACTGTACCAGAGGGGAAGATGGCGAAACAAAGCTGCTGCTCATAAATGTTACAAAAACAACCCCAACCAAGCCTGCAGAATTAGCAATGAAAGAGAAGAAAGGGCAACACCCAAACCTGGCAGCACCTGGAATTGATTGGGAACAGCTGGATGGGGGGAATGGGGCTCCAGAGGTGGGATTTGGGTACTGTGGGTAGGACGAGGCTCCCAGGAAAGGGTAAACGCAACCACCGGAGCATCACTGTGACTAAACTTGGAAGAGCTAAAAGAGAACGTTTTGTAGGCTGGAAAGGAGCTGGAGCTGAGAGGAAAGAAATCATCTGCTGTTTGCGTCTGCCTGCGCGCAGTGTGTGCCTTCTGCACAAACAACCAACACCGCAGGGGAGAAATACCTGAGCTGATTGCAGGGCCCCAGACTTTGAACTGCTCGGCTGAGTATCAGAAACATAACTCTGTAACTGTATTGTCATTTTCCTATGGAAAGCACTTTAAGCAGGTAGCAGAACCACTCTAGGAGCAGGATTCTGGAGCTGCTCCTGACGCGGCCATGCCCAAGCATCATCTTTACCTTCACCTTCCTCCACGCCTCCACAGCCTCTGCAGGTTTTCCTCTTGTCAAAATAAACCTGAAAAGCCTCGTGCTTTTAGCTCTGGTGGCTGCCCACTGGACCTTGAACGCGGTGGCCACCCCTCGGAGGCAAATTTGCATCCCGATCGTTTGGGTTTGAAATCGCCCTTTCAACCATCAAACCTGCGGTTTGGAGGCAGGACCCGGCTGAGCACGAGGGAGATGTGGGCACCACCGCTCACCCGCCGGCCGCGTTTGGTTTCCTCCGGAGCAGCTGCTGGAGGAACGCTCGGCACAGCTGCTCTCCCTTCCCTGCCCGGTAGCTGCACGGTGAGGGAGAAGAGGAGGAGACTCAGCTGCTTCATCTTGGCAGGTCGCGCAGGAGCTCGCGGAGCGCGGCAGATGCTCCACAGGCTCCTCGGAGCCCAGGGGAGCAGCTCGTAAAGGACGATTTGGTTTTGCTTCTTTGCCCGGCTTCACAAGGAGAAGGGGAGAACCCTGAGAGCCAGCTGCCAGTTCCAGTATTTCGAGCATGGATGCAGTTTGGCAGGGCTTTTACTGCTGACCTGCCTCGTGCAACCCCCCAGGGAACAGCACCAGCAAGGCAGAATCACTCCATGGGCTTCCATCAGCCCTTCTCCCCACACCTAGCACCTGCCCCGGCCTCATTGAATGGAAATAATCCTTCACCTCCCTTAAATCTCCTCTTTCCCTTGGGAGACCTCACACAGCAGGCTGCATTTTGTCTCAGCCTTATTAAAAGAAAAAAACACCAAACCCAAACCAACCAAACAAAACACCACCAAAACCAAACCCCTCCAACTATTCTGGTGGTGGTCCCTTGATCCTCTTAGACATGGCCCCAGGATGGGAAAGGTTAGATGGCTCCGCTTCCTAAGAGGATTTGGGGGCATCAAGGAGGATAATAAAAATCGACAGCAGAGAACAAACCAGAGGGATAATAAAACAGACAGTTCTGAGCAAATGGAAGGGCTACGCCTCCCTCCTCATTTCAGGCAGCAGCAATGGAGAAGTTGGAGGCTTATCTTTTAATTAGGTTAAATTAGGAAATCTTTTTGTTTTGCTTTGTGTTTAGCATAACATTGTCTTGGAGGTAAAAGCTCAGAAATGGAAGGTTTTCTAGATTAGGTTAAATTAAGATATTATGCTTCTTAAAGAAGACAAAGCATTGTCTTCAAGGTAAATGTTTAATTACATTTTAAAAACAATTTTGTCCATGTAATAATAAGACAGAGCCCAGCTCTGCCTGTGACTGTGGTTCCAGACGGAGGCCAAATAAATTGAGAAATTGGTGTTGAAGGAGTTAGGAGGCAGAGCGTAATTACTGGGAAGATGGGGGTCCTGCTGCATTATGATTCTTGTTTTTAGCAGGTCTGGAAGAAATAATTTAGAGAAAATTACTTTTTTTTTATGGCCATAAGAAAAACAGAATCTAATATCCACTTTTCTATGAGGAAGAAAACTACAGAATGATAGATAACACTCAAGGCAACGGAGTTTGGCCCAATAATTGCACTCAACCCTCCAGACTATCTTTTAAAGAGTCTTGATGTTTATTTTGCTCTCACTGCAGAAAATGCTCCCGTTGTGGCTGCAGGAGAGGCTGGGATGTCTCGTGATGCTGGAATAGCACTCCAGTTATTCCCCAGAAAGCCCTCTCTGGCTCTCAGAACCACTCCAGCTGGTGATTTTTAGGCATCACAGCGATGAAAGGATAGAGCAGGGAGATGGGAAGAGAGGCTCTGTGGTGAGGGCAGCAGGGTCAGAGTTAATGTGGCTCTGCAAAAGAAAAACGGAAAGGGAGAGAAAGAAAGGGGAAAAAAAAGAAGGGGAAGGAAGGAAAGGAGAAGGCAGAGGAAGGAAGG